AAAAATGTTTAAAATTTTAAAAATATTCACTAAAAACACAAAAAAAAACACGAAAATAAAAAAAAACTCAGTTTTTAAAAAACTTAATCTAGAAAACTCAAATCAAACACATTGTAATCAAATATTCAAAAAATAACTTCAAAGCGCTTTTCAAATAATTGGGTGTTTTCAAGAAAGAATTATGAAATTAATTTGTCAAACAAAATTTTGAGAAAATTTAGGAGATTCATGCCATAAGTCCAATTTCAAAACTTGAGGTTATCCCAAACTCTATTCTTTTAGAGCCAAAATGATAAAACAATTTGAAAGATCATATTATTCCCACCAATTTGTCTATTTGTTCACATCTCATGCATTTTGTTCACATGTCATCCATTATTTATCTAAATGTCAACTATATATCTATCTAATATGTCTATTTGTCTATATCACCACTACCCGTACCGGGTTCGAATACTTTGGGTACGTGGGAAGTGATTAGTATCACAATGGGTTTGTCTCGCTTGTTAGAGACTTAGACGTAATGTTATGTACTTTTGTGATAACATGTTTATGTGATTATTTGGGTATGGAATGTAGTTTCTTGGATGTTGATTGGATCCTTGGGTTTCTGGGAGTCCTGTTGGAAAGGCACTTGATCAATGCTGTTTCTGACCGGAATTCTAGCAACGCCTCGGGACTATCATTATCCGGAAATGAAATTCGTAAATGCTTATGTGTTTATGTGCCTACATGGAATGAATTACAGTTGTCCATATATTAAGACGTGAGTGTTTAACTTCGGCACATGTATGAGTGTGCTAACGTGTCTCTGTTACTTTTACTAGGATGCCTAAGCGAGGAAGCTATGATTTCCCTCCTTCCGCTCGGGAAGAGTTGCGGAAACAGTTTGTGGAGTTGCGCCAAGGTACTACACCTTTGGTGCAGTTCGAACGATGGTTTGCTAACCTGTCGAGGTTTGCTCCAGAATTGGTGGAGACGGAGGACTCGTGCTGTTTCGAGTTTGAGAGTAAGCTGCGTGACGACATCCGTGTAAGGATAGCGGGGTCTTGGCATAAGAAATATAGTGTGCTTGTTGAGGCAGCTGCCCATGTGGAGATTGCGGTGCTAGCAATGGGGCAGAGTGGGGAGGGAACCATCTCGGCAACTCCCGTGACTCAGGGTGTTGGTAGGCCTTTTAAGAGGCAGAGGGGTTTAAACCCGCAACAGGGAGGTCGGGCTAAAACTACCCTTCCAGTGTCGGATTTGGGTTCAGAAGAACGTAAACAGAGGGGTGTCATTTGTTTCAGATGTGGTCTACTGGGCCACAAGGTTTCGGGTTGCCCACAGAAGAAGGGGGCAAGATTAGCAGTTCAACCGGTAGTTGTGCCACCAGGACCATCTAACCAGCCGGGTTTTAGGCCGATCAAATGCTCGGTAGGGAGGCAGTTGTTGGGGTCTTCATCAGCCCAGATTCTGAACCAGTCTTGTGCTCAGGCGCCGCCTACTTGTTGGATGTGTAATCAGCCAGGTCATATTCGACGTTTTTGTACTCAGCCGGGGGCTTCTTTAGGGGTTTCGCAACCTAGCCAGGCTCAGTTTCATTCGACTGGGCAGGAACAGTATCGTTTTGGGGGACTAGCAGGCCAGATTGCGAGGGCCTCAGTAGAGTCGAGTTCCCAAGCCCCAGTTGGGGAAGTTTGTAGTTGTTCCAGGTGTGGACAGAGGGGGCACGTCGGTAGTTCTTGTCCGTGGTTAGTAAACTCGTAGGTTGTCTTGTGTTTGGGGATGACCAATTTTGGCGGTCCAGCGAGGGACGGCAGTGGTGGTAATACCGAGGGGTTGGCCTTGTTTTGACTAATCCGTTTTGTAATCGGGGGATTAATGTTTTGTGATCATTTGGTTCCGTTATGTAACCAACGTGTTTTGGGAATGTTGAAACATCTAAACTGTCTGTTTATCTATATATACACATATATGCTTGGTTTGTTAATTTCCTCGGATTGGGTGGATTGGAGCATTGTGTAGCTTTAAAGTTTTATTGATGTGGTAAGTTGCTGTGAGACCAAAAAATTTTTTTTTTTTTTGGTATTAGGCGTGTGACTTGATTTGGGAAAGATGAGGGTTGAGGAGCCATGTTTTCAAAATTTGAAAGAACCACCAAGGGGTGCGTGTCCTAGCCAAGGCAATATTGGAGAGGATGTGAAGTGTGCGATTAGTACTAG